TTTTTTTTTTTTTTTAGTGGAGGGAGAAAGTGATTTAGCAGTTTCTCGTTTTTGTTACCTCAAAAAATTATGGGTTTTGAAATATCTTTCCTCTTTTTTTCTTCTTCTGTTTGAGTTTAAGCTGATGTTAAAAAATTTATATTTTGCTAATTGATAGTTTAACTCAACTAAATCTGTTTGTTTTTTCTTAATTTATTGTTTTTTTTTTCATATTTGATCTGTTTTACAGGTGCATATGTGTTTTGTATATGTTTATATTGCTCAATGGGATCAGCGATGTTTATTAATTGGGAACGAACTTGGTCATTTATTCACGCATTTCATTTTGGATTCAATTTAATTGTTACCGTTGGTTTGGGTGATATTGTTGTTAAAGATTACATATTTCTTTCACTCATTGTCGCTTTTGTAATTGTTGGTAAGTTTTAGCAAAAAAAAAAAAAAAAAAAATTGTTGATTAAAATTATTATTATTTTTTTTTTTTCGTTAAAATTCAAATTACACATAGTTCTTTATTTCCTTCTTTTTTTTTTTTCGCTGTAACTTTTCAATGACTATTACAGATATAAAACAGCTTTAAAAACTAAACCAATTAATATATGTTACTGTGTGAATAGACTAAGTATAGTAGCTAATGATAGGGTTTTGATACATCTGAATTACATACACTGTTTTACTGTTCACTTTGGCAGATTTCTGCTTTTCTGAACACTTATTTGTTTTGACGCTTTTGTAGACAGTACTGTTGTAAAATTTGTACTGTAAACGAAGTTGGTAGAACAGCAAAAATGAAAACGCTACCGTAGATGAAATGTTGATGAAGATGAATTAAAATTTAGGTTTTCTGCTTTTTTGGTACTTTTATGGTATAAGGAACTGGATAACTTTTTTTTTTTTTAGCTGCTTACATGTCACCTTTGTATGTTCATACATATTGTATGGGCTTCTATTTTTCAGGGCTTTCCGTTGTAACGATGTGTGTCGATTTGGCATCAACACACCTAAAGGCATATTTCACTCGAATACATTACTTTGGAAGAGCAAAACGATTTTTGGGAATGAGCGAAGAGTTAAAGGAAATTGTAGCATTATTAGGTGCAATGAGGAGGAAAAAAGGTGGAAAGGTAAGATGATTATTGATAATGATTATAAGGAAATGGCAATTTACTTTTGTTTGTTCAATTTTTTATCTTTTTATAGCAATTTTATTGTTGGTTTTGAGAAATATAATTGATCAACAAGATCACTGGGTTACCGGTTCAGAACTGTCAACTTTTTAACTGTTCCTCATTTTGGTGCTTCTTTGGTATATGGTGAGTACGAAAGCACTAAGAATCTGCAAAAAAAGAAATATTTTTTCTTTTCAAAAAACTGCTGTATATTGCTCAAAAATATCTTTTTATTTCGGATTTTTTAATGCTAAAATTATTCGGAATTTTATTTGCAAATAAATTATCAATATTAGTCTCTCTTCTTTTTTGTTTTTAATCAGTTTTTAAATTTGGAAAAAAAAAAATTCGTTCGTTTTGTTTCAAAAAAAAAAAAAAAAATCTGAACATAAAACTTTTTAATTTTTAACCGTTTTGATATGATTTTTTTTTTGGCTGAAAAACATCAAATTTGTTATATGTATATACATGAACTTTTTTTTTTGGTGAATTTTAATGATGTCTTTCATTTGTTGACCAAACATTTCCTGTTCTATTTTGAACAAGATAATAGAAATTTTTTCAAGTTTTTAGCGGAAGAAAATTCTTTTTTTTTTTTTTTTTGTTTTGCTTTTACTTTTCTTTCTGTTAAATAGAACTGAAAAAGCATAAGGAAACAACAGCTGTATGTGGTCCGAAGTGTTCAAAAATTGGTTGAAACACAACAAATTATGACTTCTTATATAGCAGCAGTTCTTTGATACAGCAACATCAATAGCACCGCTACTGTCTTTCTGATTATTGCCATCATTAGCAACAGCATTGCTAGCAAAATATAGTTAGATCATAGATTATTAAGCATTATCGATGTGCTATAGCCGAATGATAAATTTCTTATCAGGTCTTCCAGATTATTTATCTAGCAAAATAGTGACAAAAAACAACTTGTAAATTGCTAGTTTGACAGCTGTAGGCAGCCTTCGTTTCAAAAACCTCATTATCAGTTGATACTCCCTTACTTCGTTCCCCAAATTCAGATGCGCTTATTAAACTACATCATATTTTACATGTAATTTATTGGTTTTGTTCATGTTTAAATGTGAATTAAAGTAAACTGAAGGAGGATTTATGAAAGTAATAAACAAACAAAATAAAAAATATTTTTTTTTTCTGATAATATATCAAAATTTTTTTTGCTAAGTAAAGACAACTGTTTCGTGTGCCTTTGTTTCCTTTTTCTTTTTTTTTTCCACTTTTTTCTCCTGTTTTTTTTTTTTGTTTTTTTTTCTTCTGTTTTATAGCAAAGAAAAAAATTTTTCTGCAATATTGAATTTACAGTTTACAACTGCTTTGAATTCTTAATACTGTCAAAGAAAAGTGCAGAATTTTTTCGCTTAGTATCACTGCACGTTGAAATACAGAACACTAATTGTAGTGACAAGCAAGGATTATTAACCATTTTTTTGGTGGAAGATGAGGAGAGGAGAAGATTTCTGTAATGCTTAATAGTTGTTAGGAATTTAAATCTGAAAATGGTGAAGAAGAATAATTTAGTGTTGATAATTTAGAGTGATGAAGTTTATTCTGATAGAAATACCTTTGTATCATTGGAACTGTGTTGAATATACATCCGATGATACATAAGTACACAGTTGCTTGACAGTACACTAAAGAAAGGTTATCTAGGTTTTCACTGATGAACACATGCGCAATTTTTTAGGTAACATGGAACGATGTACGCGAATTTTTGGACAACGAATTACGCGATCGACCATTCGAGCCTCATGAACTGTTAATGAAACTAAGATTTATTGACGAAACCTCATCAGGGATGTCAACATTACGACGAAATTCATTTCAGTCGGATTTTTTACGCGATTCAGAATATTATAAACGACTGTCTGCCTATCGTCCTGAAGAGCCGGCATATCTATAATAATAGTTTTATGTTCTTGGTTTAGATGGAAAAAAAAGGCAAAAACAGAAAAGATGTTTTTTCATTTATCCTGTTTTGCTTTTTTTTTTTTTGATTTTTTTTTTTGTAGTATTTAGCTTTTTCTTTCTGATTTTTTTTTTCTCTCAGTTTTGCATTCGAACTTTTGCATTTGTATTTGTATCCGCAGTTATGTATTTGTAATTGTATTTATATATGTAATTCTTTTTTTTTGTTTTTAATCCGACTGTTGTCATTCATTGTGGTTGAAATGATCGAACGATCTGCTTGATTTGTGATTTATTATGAACTTTGATTTCTATGTTTTTTTTTTCTTGTGTGTGTTCTTTTTTTTTCAGATTTTACGATGTTATGTTTAAGCTCTCAGTCTCTCCGCCCTTCCATCGCTTTAACTTCACCTTCAGTTTCATTACACTGTCCCTACAGTTCCACATCCAACCCCCCATTAATCGCTGTACCGTTAATGAAATTTAGAATTTGCAGAATTACAGTGATGAACACAGAATGGGTGGCTAGTGGATAATCAGTAAATGATTAGTACACTGTTTTGCGGGGTCTATTGAAGTCTTTGAAAAACCTTCTTAAATCGAAATATACAAAAACTGTAACTGAGGGAGAATACAGTGTAAAAAGCATATTTTTTCTACAAAGTCATAGTCTTTTTAGCAGTTTAGCTTGAACACTTTCTTTTTTCTCTGAAAAATAAGAAAAAAATGAACGAATTTTTGAAGTGTTTAAACACTGATCATTATTTATTATTGTAATTCTTTTTTTTTTTGCCAACTTATTTGAACCATGTCATTCTCTACTATACAGGAGAATCTTCAAATCCTATTTTGCTTCCGTTTTATTTATTTATTTAATTTTTTTTTTCTGGTTGCTGGTCATTAAGATGGTAATTTTTTAGAAAGCTTTCATAATTGTTCCAAGTTTTAGTCTCTTCTTCATGCAGTATGAAAAGTGGTTATTGATAAACGAAAATATAAATTAGAAAGCAGAAGAAGATGAAGGAATAACAAAGAAAGAAGAAGGAAAAAAGATCAGGAAAATTGTATGGCGGTAATGTAAATTATCAATATTAAAGGAACAGCAAAAACTGTTTCT